CGCCCAGCACAAACTACTCTGCTACCGCCTTTGCCGTGTACGGATGTGCTAAAGCCATGAAGTGAGCATATTTGGTGAGCTTGTCAACTACCACGAACAGGACGGTCTTTCCTCCTGAAGGCGGAAGACCGACAATGAAGTCCATGTTGATGTCCTCCCAGACCTGTTCCGGAACCGGCAACGGCTGTAGCAAACCCGCAGGACGAAGCTTTGAAGCCTTGACCCTCTGGCACGTGTAACAGGAATCCACATAGCTCCTCACATCCTACCCCATCTGTGGCCAGTAGAACTGAGCTCGAACCGGGCGAAGAGTGCGCTCCATCCCGGAATGGCTGCCGAAGGGTGAATCGTGGAACTCCTGCAGTATGGTCGTCACCAAAGGATGATCCCCGCGGAAGGACCAAGCGCCCTTTGAAGAACACCAGACCCTGCCAAAAGGTATAGGGACCCGGGTGCTTGCTATCCGCGATGGCCCGACACTCCTGCAGGTTCGGATTTGTCCCTGTCAACTCGCGCAGGGCGTCCCAGAACTAGGGTACAGGACCAGTCACTGTCGCGAGTATCTCGCCTCCTGGATTTCTGGAAAGCCCATCTGCAACCACGTTAGTGGGGCCCGGTCTGTAGTGAATCTTGTAGTCATATCCCAACAACTTCGAGACCTACTTATGCTGATCCGGGGTAGCAACCTTCTACTCTAGGAGGTTCCGCAGGCTTTGGTGGTCGGTGTAGATGTGGAATTTCTGCCCCAATAAGTACGACCTCCACGCCTGTACTGCAGTGAATCAGTGATGATAGCCTACATTTCCTTCTTATAGGTCGACCATGCTTCATTGGACGGGGCCAAGGTCTTGCTCAAATAAGCTATCGGGTGACGGTCTTGGGACAGTACCGCCCCAATTCCCCTTCCGGAAGCATCAGCTTCGATCATGAACGACTTCGAGAAGTCTGGCATAGCCAGAGTGGGCGTCGTCGTCATAGCGCGCTTCAGTGCCTGGAATGAATCTTCTGCCGCCTGAGACCACTCGGATCAGCCCTTCTTCATAAGATTAGTCAGAGGTCGAGCTATCATGCTGTTCCCCTTAACGAACTTCCGGTAATACCCTGTCAGTCCTAGGAAGCCTCTCAACTCTGTCACTGTAGTCGGGACTGGCCACTCCACCATAGCCTGAATTTTGGTCTGGTCAACCCGCACTCCCTGAGGTGTCACAACATACCCCAAATAATCCACCTCCTGACTCCCAAATGAACACTTGGAAGCCTTGACGTAGTACTGGTGCTGGTGGAGAATCTCGAACACTTTCTATAAATGTTGCAGGTGATCCTCCCAGGAGGGACTATAGACAAGTATATCATCAAAGAACACCAAAACATACCGGCGAAGGAGGGGCCGGAAGATATCATTCATGGCTGCCTGGAAGGTCGAGGGTGCATTACACAGGCCGAATGACATTACTAGGTATTCATAGTGTCCGTTATGAGTCCGGAAGGCCGTCTTATGCACATCCTCCTCCTCCATCCGTATCTGGTGGTACCCGGCCCGTAAATCCAGCTTGGTGAAGTAGGCCGATCCGTGGAGCTCATCCAGCATATCATCAACGGTCAGAATCGGAAACCTGTCCTTCTCTGTCACCTTATTGAGGGCCTGGTAATCTATGCAGAAATGCCAGGTCCCGTCCTTTTTCTTTACCAGGAGTACCGGTGAGGAAAACGGACTGGTGCTTGGGCGAATCAAACCTGTCTCGAGCATATCTCCCACCTGGCGTTCAATTTCTTCCTTCTGCGAATGCCCATACCGATAGGGTCGTACATTCACAGCCTCCACCCCTTCCTTCAAATTAATACGATGATCAACCTGGCGGTGCGGAGGAAGGATCGTGGGAGTCTAGAATATATCCGGGAATCGGTCGAGCACGACCTGTAAATCAGTCGCGACGGCCTTCGTCTGCGGCGCAGCCAGCGGCCAACAGAGGACCGCGAAGTCCGCCTCCCCTCCCGTTGTGCACTCTCTGAAGGAAATCGACCCCATCACCGTGGTCAATCCCTGCAAGGTCCACTCCTTATCACTCCACTTAAAACACCTAGTCAATCTAGTCCAATCACTGGTAACCGGACCCAGATTGCGTAGCCACGGCATCCCCAGTATCACATCATACCCCCTGATCGGAAGCACATACAGATCCGCTGAGAATTCCAACCCCTGGATGTCGAGTCTGAGATCTCGGTAACCCTTGGTACACCGCATGGGCGCGCCATTCGCGACCTTGACCACCAACGGCTCCACCTCGCAGGCCTCCTGCGCTAGTGTGTCCGCGAACTCTGCCCCAATGAAGTTGAGCGAAGCACCTCTGTCCACCAAAGTCATGGCAGAGTGCTCGTCAATCTTCACACGGAAACGCAGTATTTCCGCGACTGCCTGGCCTGCCACCGAGTCGAGGGACACGCTCAGTCCTCCCCCGTTAGCCGGTTGGACGCGCGGCGCGCTGGCCTTGGTCGTGCCTGCCGCTCTCCCCTTCTCTGCCACGTCCAAGGTGGCTGTCGCCGCCTCTGCCCTCGCGGGCCCAGGGCTGCCTCCCCCGTCTCCGCTGCGTCGCCTGCCTCCTTCACCCCGACTTCCGCGGTCGCCACCCTCGCGGTGATATCGGACAGTCCCGCAGATCGCTGCTGCCTTGTCTCCCCAGCAGCGACACCCACTGCCCCCGCCCCCATCTCGCCCTCGTCCGCCTCTCTCTCCCGTGCTTCCCGTTCGTAGCGTTCGAGAGACTGCTGCAACCGTTGGCTGAGACGAACCCACTCTAAATCGAAGAACTTGGATGGGTATTCTAGCTCTGATACTAGATGATAGAAACCTGTAGTTGAGAAAAGGGAATTGGCAATTGAAGAAGAAAGGGAATTAGGGATTTAGAAGAATTGGGGAAGAATTGAGAGAAAATGAGATCAGGGATTTAATTCTTTCTTATTGCTTAATCTGAAAATACTGTTCTGAACCCTTATATATGGGTATCGAAATAAACAAACAAATCGGGCCAATAGGCCGGCCCTCCCCACTCGCCTAACCCGCGGAGCGGGTTTCTATTAGATTATTAATTATTTACCTCCAAAAACAGCAAGCAACCATGTATATACTTTTTCCCATCAGCATTATGGTTGCAGATGCATTTCACCAATTCATTGAAGCAATAGGATGCCCAATTCTTCTTCGGAATGTCCGCAACATCGGTGATAGTGTACACCGAAGATAACGAAATGTTATATCTTCTAGTAGGTACTAATAGCACCCCCATTACGTACAATATAAAAGTTTTAACAAATAGATAGCTGCTCTCTTTTATCTTCAACACCGTCTTTCGCATTAAGCTTGTGGAAATCGCATGTCGATCACAGTCACGAGTCCAATACACTCTAAATTCTTTCAGATCCTCGGATCTTCCAACCACTTCTTCACCATCCAAGACGATATTCGTCCCTCCCTCGAGGACACCCATAATTCGCTGGAAATCTTTGGCCGAAATATGCACTTTCAGCCCATACGCCTGAATTGTGCTTTCTTCCAGATTAAAGCTATTTAAAAGTTTCTCCAACAACTCATGTTGTAACATTCTTCATTTGACTTCAAGAATCCGGCCAAAGCCACATCTCTTAATGGCCTCTGATTGACAAGCCTCTAAATTTGAGACTAGGGAGAATACTTTCCTCGGAGAACATCCCGTGCTAAAAAGGTCATGCCTCTTCGTCTTCATTATAGAACAATTTTAACAAAATGAAAAATTAAAACAACAACAAAATTATAAGCGTGCCTTGAAACACGAATTATAAGCATGCCGAAGACTACAAACAAAATACACAAAGCCAGAGTCGTGCTCCACTGATCTAAAGAAGCAACTTTCATGGTTAAACACATTCTAGAAAATGTGATTATGACAAAGTTTCATTCTAGAAAAGGATCATTTAATCATTTGGTAAACACAAGCGTTCAAGAAGGCGCATCTAGGCTTGAAAAAGCACAAGGCGCTGAAGCAACGCCTCGCTTTTGCTCATAGCGCTGTAAAAAGCACATAATGCGCCTAGTAGCTATTAATGGACGCCTAATAGGAGACAAACAGGGATTAGGCATGATTAATGGGGCCTAGGCGTTTTTTATCAGCGGCCGGAATTTTCACAGCACGACTTCGTTTTGATCTCCACAATTCAACCCTGCGTTTTTGTTTCTAGTGGGCAGTGGTAAGTCCTCTTCGTCTCAGTTTCTCAGAATCAATCGTAGCCCAAACCTTAATTCCCTCTTCGTCTTCCTCCATCCTGTGATTCTAGGTTAGATACGAAGCTCGGCGGCCGCCTCTTTTCTGCAGTGAAGCTCGAATGCAGTCAGAGAAGCTCTTCGTCACTCGGGTGCCGGTCGCAAAGAGAAGCTCGTCTCACCTCTGTAAGTACCCTGTTCTGTTCTAAACTTTCCTTTGTTATGCTCTCGTTCGTCGTAGGTGAGGGAACAAAAAAGAAACAAAGGGAAACCAAAACGCACCTGAATCTGAATGGAACCTGGTCTTTTCTATTCTAAAACCAAAACTCGTTGCTTTGCCTATGTTCCCTTTGTGTGTTGTACTTGTGATTGTTACTGCAATATGAGTTGGTGCATCATGAGTTTTGTCGAGCTTTGTCTCTGTTTCCTGTGTTCAATTTCTATACTTAGTATTTTGGATTGTTATTGCTAGTTGTAGCTTTGCTGGTGGACGCCAAAAAGACAAAAACCCTTGTCCTTTTGCTTTTGCATCAAAGAAGGTCGTTAATGATGAAAGAATGGAATGGGTGTGGACATGATTATTTTATTGAGTGTCTTTACTTTCTATTCTATAGTTTATTAGTCATTCTTGGTTCAAGGATTTTTTAATTAGGGAATAAAGTTTAATTAATTCTTTGCAAGGCGACAAGAGATAAGGTTGTGATTCTAGGTTAATTAATCGCTCCCTTTTCTGATTTAGGACAGGTGGTGATTCTACAGTTTTATCTTTATGATGGATGATGCTAGTGGTTTGGTGGCGGGCGTGACAAATGAAGAGAATGCCAATATTTTTAAAAGAAAGTCTGGTGATATAGGTTGGGAGTATGGAAGATTGGTGGATCCCAATAACAAGGAGAAAGTGCGGTGTAATTTTTGTGGCCATGAGAGTACTGGAGGTATCAATCGCTTCAAGCATCATATTGCCCAAGATTCAAGTAAGGTGCTTAAATGCAAGAAAGCACCACCAGAAGCTAAAGAAGCATGCTTGAAAGCCTTTGAGAATACATCAAAAAAGAAGAAAGAAAAGATTCTTCGTGAACAAGAGTTGAGAGATGATGTAATTGTTTCCTCTGGTCAACAGGATGAAGAAATGACTTGTGTTGGTAGTTCAGAACCTCACAAATTAGGACCTATGGATAAGTGGGCACGTTCTATTGATCCTAAGTTGTTTTCAGGTGCAACACTTCATCAGCACAAGTTAAATAAAGCACTTTTCGAAGAGAGAACACTTCAAGTTCAACAATAAGTTGCGAGATGGGTGTATACACATGGTAAGCAATATGCACTTTTGTATCTATTTTTCTATGAAGTTTTGTTGCAACCTACAAAGTTAATTTAAATTTCAACTTGTGCTTTTATTTTACAGCTATACCGTTCAATGCAATTGATAATGATGAGTTCAAGCAAATGTGTGAGGCTGTTGATCAGTTTGGCCCGGGATTTGTGCCTCCTACTCATTATGATTTTCGAGAGCCTTTACTGAAATCAGAATATACAAGAACAAAAAGCTTGTTTAGTGATCGTGATGATGAGAAGATGAGGAACGGTTGCTCCATTATGACCGATGCATGGACAGACACGAAGAGAGGAAGCATAAAAGAACATGGTCACACATTATGCTGAGGGAACAAGCTTCATCAAGTCAAAGGACACATCGGATGTGTCACACACAAGTGAAGTCATCTTCAACCTAGTTGACAAAACAATTGAGGAGTTAGGTGTTGAACATGTGGTGCAAGTTGTGACGGACAATGCTTCCAATAACATGGGAGCAAAGAAACTCTTGTTGGAGAAAAGACCAAATATTTTTTGGAGTTCCTGTCCAACTCACACCATCAACTTGATGGTTCAAGAATTGGCAACTTGCCAAAGTTCAAGAAGGTAATTGACCAAGCTAAAAGTTTCACTATCTTCATTTATGAGCATCATCGTACATTGGAATACATGAGGTTCTTCACCAAGAAGAGAAAAATCATAAGACCAGGAGTAACCCGATTCGCTTCTCAATATCTCACACTGCAAAGTTTGATGGATAAAAAGGATGCACTTAGGAAGATGGTGGTGGATAGGAAGTGGGAGAGCTTGAAAGATGCACAAACAAAGAAGGGAAAGGAAGCAACACCAACGGTGTTGAATGCATCATTTTGGAAAGGTGTACACCTTTGCTTGAGGGTTTTTGAACCATTGGTAAAAGTTCTTTGTTTGGTTGATGGTGATGTGAGACCATCTATGGGGTTTGTTTATGGTGAAATTGTGAAGGCAAAGAGAGAGATTAAAGAGGCACTTAGTAATGTGGAGATTCGCTACAAAGAAGTTATGGCTATTGTTGACAAGAAGATGAAGGGGAGACTTGATGCTCCATTGCATTGCACTGCGTATATGTTGAATCCACACTACAGTTATGTTGATAAGTCCATATTTGATGAGGGAAACATCACCACAACATTCATGGATTGTGTTGAGACATTTTACAGTGGTGATGATGACAAGCAAGATCAGGTAGTGAATTATGAATTTCAGAAGTTTCAAAAGAGAGAAGGCACCTTTGGGAAGAAACTTGCAAGGACTTGTCAAAACTTCGATTACAATCCTGGTTAGTACTGCACTACTACTTTATATCTTTGACTTCTTTTCTTGTTATTTCATGGCTCTAATTTAGTATGAAATTAACAATATATTTCCTAGTTGCTTGGTGGAGAATGTGTGGAGTTGACACACCAAATTTACAAAAAATGGCTATGAGGATTCTTTCATTGACCTCCAGTTCTTCTGGCTGTTAGAGAAACTGGAGTACTTTTGAGTCGGTAAGTATTTGAATCTTAATCTATACTATATTTAATTACTCATATTTCATATTCTCAATTTGTCGTGCAATGCAATTTTGTACTTGTAGATACATACCAAGAGAAGGAATAGACTTACAACAGATCGTCTCAATCAATTGGTGTACATACAGTTCAACTCGAGGTTGATGTCTAAGAAGAAGAAGATAAATGAAAAGAAAAACATTGATATTCTCTTAAGTACTGATGCAACTAAAGCACAAGGCTTCCTATTTGAGGGAGGGGATGACCATGCTATGTATGTATTCGTGGATGAGTATGAGGAATCATATTGTGCACCCTCGAGTACTGTTACAGATGCAATGGCGGGTGAACAGAGTGAGCTTCGCAGGAGTGCACGAGTGAGAGAGCTCTATGATGAAGAATTCGAGTATGAAGAGGAGGATGGTGAGGAGATTGCTTTTGAGGATGCTGGAGATGAAGTGGTGGCTGAACGGACCTACTTGGATGGTGAAGAATGAACATTTTCCTATGAACTTATTGACTATTGTTTAGTATTTTGACATTTTATGAACTTGTGATTCTAGGAAGTGGTCACTATTTGCTTGTTATTTGTTATGTTAAGTGTTTACTGTTAAGAACTAGGCATTGCTAATTTTATATGTACTTGAATTATATGAATTATTCTAGAAAACAGGAAATATTTGAGAATTTTTTCCATTTATGCTCTGAACGCCTAGGCGCGCCTAGGCTACCTAATCGGGCAAGGTGCAAGTCAGGAGTCGAGCGCCTGCCTTACGCCTAGCGCCTTTTAGAACCTTGGTAAACACATTCTCCAGGTAATGAGTTCAATCCTGGTTTTCAATATATGGCTTTTATCAATATTGAAAAAATGCAAGACTATACCAGAGCTCACAAGCACACTTACCTCGGTATCAAGTTTCAACTACCAGAAGAACTAAAAACCCCTACCTCAATACCTGAGTACACTAATTAACCATGAAATCCGCCATTGGCATATATAAATTTCACCCAAAACACCCAGCTTTCATTAAACAGTTCTCACGGCCGTGACATGCCCCGTGAGAAGTAAAGAGCAGTTTTCATATCCCCAGGCAATCTCACGGCTTTGGATTCATAAATCACGGCCGTTAAACGAAGCCGTGAAACTAAAAACACCCAGATTCCACTAAACATTTTCACGGCTAATTCTGGAAATTTCACAGCCATGACATCTTTTCAATTGATCTACCTGTTGAAAATAGGCATGTTCATTATCTCATTGCATGGAATTTTTATGTCACGCATCCATATGTTATCTATGTCGTGAGTGTATTGGTGTGGTGATCATGGTAGTTTAATCATTATCATATCGCGATTAAAACCGCGTTGTTCCACAATTGATACATGAGGTGGACCAGATTGTTACGGAGTAGTCATTGTACAAATAACATATGGCTGCGCGGCTAAAATATTTTGTAATATATATGTTTGGGCAATTAGACAGCCTAAGTGGGAGATTGTTAGAAATTTTATTTTCTATCTTACATGGGCTATCAATTCAAACATATATTAGCTATTTGATTTTGATGGCCTAACTACAAATGGTCAATACATGGAGCTCATGACTACTTAAACCCAATATGGGTCCAATGATTGGAAACCCAATACTTGAGTTTTATGGGAACCCATGGTGAATTAGTATATAAGGAGATTGAGGTTGTGAACTTGTGATCTCCAATACTCCAAGAACAATACCAACTCTCTTCTTCTCCCCATCAGGAAGATCAGAAGTTTCCCGTAGTGGACTAAGGAAACTTGGTTGAGTAAGGTCGCAATACCTCTCGAGTCGTGTTGTTGCCAGTAACTTCTGATCATTGATCGTTCTACGGTTTCCGCATCAACCTCGAGATAATTTATAACATGATTCCAGGTATTTCTACAAATCTTTGATAATCTGACAAGATGAGTTCCGATGAATTGTATATGTTAAGTAAATTCTTAACAAAGGTGACATGGTAACTCCTAACTCGGGCTGATTCATTTTTGCCTCAGTTTGCAAAATTTTGTAAATGATTTTTCAAGAAACTTTCGTCATTTATAGATTTTGATTATATATGTTTATCTCATTTCCTATTAAACCAACGAAAAGTAAAATAAACAATTTTATTGAGATTTTCTCATCATACTCACCCGGGGTACCATAGAACTCCCCATATATATATAGAATCCAGTTTTAGTTCGCGTTATAGTCCATAAAACACATACGCAGTAAAGGAGAAACGATAGTTTATGGAGTGGTATGTAGTATAAATATATGAGACCTGCATGATGCACTATATATAATCGGTGGCTCTACTAGTTGATTTATAACGATCGATCGAGTTTTATCAATTACCTTCAAACAACGTCCGCAGTGAGTAATAGTAGTAGCATTGTTTTGAGACCGCGGGGCACGTAGAGCAGCAAAAGGATACTTGTGACGGGAAGCTAGAGACAGGCGGGAGAGAGAAGCTGCACACGATAACGGTGACGCCGCCGGCAACGAGAAAGAAGAAGAAGCATTATTCAGATAGTGGTTATGAAGCGTAGCGTTAAGCAGAGGAGGTGCGAGTAGTTGAACTTCTCCTCCTGCCGTTTCATGAGCTGCTACTTGTCTACCAGTGATAGTGGCATTACCAGATGGAGTGGTACGCTACCACTTGACGAAAATCACTGCCAATAGCGCACTGACGGAGAGGTACTCTTTTTTGGAGGTGATCGGAACGAGTTTGCCTCAAGGATTTGACGGGAGAAAATCCGCCGGTCGAAGAAAGTTTGTCGCTCGGAGCAAAGTGGCTGCTGGAAAAGGAAGAGAGAAATGTAAATGTATTTATTGTAGGATTTAAATTAAAATATATGTATTATATATGGGTTTTTAATTTTCAATGTGTAATTAATAAAAAAATTAATTAATTTTTTTTTGTCATACCCAAATTGTCCTTAGTTGTTAATCTCACAACCCATTAAAGGTTGTGACCATATCCAAACGCCTTGCTTGAATTCAATTTGCTATCCATTTACATGCCGTCTGAATAGTGAATACAATATTAGTTAACTAGATACAAAACCCGGCCCGTTGGCCGGATACATTTGATCATGATATAAACAATAAGTAGTAATTATCTTAACTATTTACAACATAACTATATTCATTATCGATTCTACTATCTTCACTCTCAAATGTCTCAAGTATTATTAGCTTCTTCTTAACAATATCGTTTCTTAACAACATAACTATATTCATGATTGATTCTGCATATAGATGTCTTCTTCTTAATAACGTCGTTATAATCCACTGCCTCTACCATCAAAAGAGTCTGTGTAATTCTCCTCATTTAATTGCTAACAAATTTGAAGGCAAAACTTATGCAAATATGAAACATCATTATCATGCAAAATAAATTTACCTCATCCAAGTCATTTGCAATAATTGTTTGAGATGTGTTATTTCTCATCTTTGATTATCTTTCAAACTATGAATTCACTTATGAGAATTGTAATTTCCATTGTCGTTCATATGATTTTCGCTAACCTCAATTTTCAGAAGAGAAGGAGGATGTCCTCTTTTACCAGTATTTTGAAATAGTTTCTCAGCATCCTGCAAATCTAATAAAAAAAAATCTTAGTTCTTTATCGTTCAAAATTAAAATGTCCGGTTCAACCTTTTTCTTCAAAACATGAAGTTAGATTGAGATTCACTATTTAATTCAACAGTATAATTACATATGCTCAAACCCTCTCACCCTTCCAACATTACTTGCCCCCCACTTTATAATTGTAATACGTTTTTTTGTTCTA